AGTGCATCTTCCTGGTCCACAGCAGCCTGGTTGACGAGAAGTAACGATAACCAAGCATTGGTGGTGTTGGATTCCGTGACAATAGGTTCTTTGGAGAGGATATCGTCCCATTCTTGTTCGATGAACTTGGTAGTGCGTACCATAGCGTTGATCGGCGACACCGGGATCATTTGAATGCCGTGGATAGCGTACTTCTCAGCACTGAACCAGGTTGCGTACGCAGCCTTGTTGTCGAAGAAAATGCCCGTCACATGGTTCGGTACGAACTGTTTGGGGTGAATAGTGTTGTCCGACGTCATGAGGAAGTAGGTGCGGATAGCGCGGGCGTTGAGACGCAGCATGAGGCTGCCCAGATCCTCGACGGCCTTGTTGTTGGATACCTGGCCCCAGAGCTTCATACCATAGTAGAAATTGACATCTTCGGACGTACTCTCTTCATCCTTTCCATCCAGCATAGGCGTCACGCCGTGCGAGTACGAGTGGCCAAGATAGAAGGAGAAGTGACGGAATCTTGGGAAGAAAGTGTCGTCCGTACTGGGGTTGGCGACATCGCGTAGCATCATCCAGATCATCCGGTCGAGCTCTTTCATGCGCTTCCACTTGGGGTGCAGACTCTTGAGCATAGCAGAAGCTGTGACCCAGTAGCCGTAGTGATAGTGGTGGTCGTTATACACACTGTTACCAAAGTCAGCGTTGACGTCCTTTACGGTGAAGCTCTGACTGCTTACCAGACCGCCGTACGACGTCTCGTAGTTGAGAGGAGGATCCAGCGTGTTGTCCAAGAACGGCACAAGGAGCTTCTCCAGCTTCGTCAGACATGCATTGAGAAGCTTCTTGCTCTTTCCCACAACGGCTGGGTCTGCAGCCATAAGACACAGCGACGCGTACTTCTGGTACTGCTTGCCGTTGAAGTACCAGCTCGTCTTGTTGAGCGCCCAGTGATCAGCTATATCGGCCTGTAGAGTCTTCAGAAGACCGACCTTAGCCACCACCTTGGCAGATGGCTTGGTTGTCGGGTAGAAGTCCACTTCTAGGTCGTCTTCAGGCTCTGAAAGGACCCACTTTCCTGTCGTGGACACCTGGGCGACCATTTTGCCTCGAGTAGCCGAGTTGAGGACGATAGCTTTCGGACTTTTGGCAGTGATGGCTCCTTTCAATGCTGGAAGGTGGTGAGGCAGTGCAAAGTGAAGCATACCGTGGGTCTTGCAGCTTTTACCCACCGTCTCCCAGTTCAACGTGTATTCAGTACGAGACTCCACAGACACGTTTCCGCCGCGAACGTGACATGTCCGGTACTTGTCGTACACATCTGTAGTATCACTCGACGGTAGAATTGCAACGCGAACGGTGCCACTGAATAACCCACTAGATACAAGAGCCTTCTTAGACTCGTCGAGTGCAAAGGAGCCATTCTTGCCAGTGTACACGACCCACGTCTGGTTACCGCCAAGTTCGACGATGTACTTGCCTGGTACGGACTTGTCCACGATCTCCATGGTGTATTCGGACTCGATACGAGCAGTCAGACGGTCGTAGGTCGCGGTGATGAACGCCATTCCGTGCACGAGAGCGGAGTCCAAACATTGCTCCTTGTTCTCGAGACAGGCTCGAACTTTGATACCAAAGTCACTGAACGAGTAAACCTCGTATGTAGGTTTCGCTTCACCGGCAAATTCCGTGGCAGACAATGTGAGGTCGTTGACAAAGTCGTGCAGATAAAACTCCGCAACACCATCGGTGAGAGCAGACAACTGACGGTAGTTGTACGAGTAACACGCCTGGATGCCGTACGGGGCTTCCTTGGGCAACTTGACGGCGTACGGGTTCGACCACCCAGGATTGGCTTTCGTGTTCATCTCCTCGGCGGTTGTGTGGATGAGGTTACCCCACCACTTGTTCGTTGGAAGCGGCTTACCCAGCAGACCTTCGGCGACGTTAATGATTGGAGCCATCTCACCGAGCGCACTACGAGGGAAGAGTGTTTTAGACGGTTCTTCAGTCGAGAACGGCGCAAGGAAGCCGTCACTTCCCGATGAAGGGGTAGCAGTCGAACCGGTCGATGAAGTCACGGGTTCATCACCAGAAGTGGACGTCGACATGGCATCGTCGGATCCTGAAGCCGACAAGATATCCGTTGAACTAGCAGCTGAAGTCGAAGCGCTAGAGCTTACGCTGTCATCGGATCCAGACGCCAGAAGACTAGCCTCTGAACCAGAGCTCGAGAGGCTAGCGTCTGAGCCGGAGGCGGGAACGCTAGCAGCAGAATTCGAGGAGAAACTTGCAGCTGAATTGGAAGTAGAAAAGCTATCATCGGACCCAGACATTGACAAGCTGGTAGAGGTCGAAGTAGATGTCGAAGTGCTAGCATCGGAGCCCGAGAGTGTCTGAGCATGGGAGCCCCCAATTGAAGCTGCACGCTCTTCTTCTATTTGCTGTGGGGCATGTATATTTCCCTTGCGATAACTGATATCGTCGTCCAGTAGGGAGAGGTCGAAGGCGCCTGCTGAAGCGGTCGTCATGGCGATTGCCGCCGCGAAGCGCACCCATTGTGTTAGCTTCATTTTAAATGGTTTACTCGCAGCACTTGCGAACTTGTTCGTGTCGTTCTTGTGGTGAGGAAAGCAAAATTGGGAATGACAGTGTCAAAGTTGCTCAACATGTTGATCTTGGGTGATAAGGACGACTCAGAAGACGATATCGGAGCAGGTCGAAGAGCGGATCTCCTTGTTGGGCTGGAGTTGTCTTTGTTAGCTCGTTAGAGTTCAACGTGGAAGTCAATGTGGAGTCACGTCAACTCTTGTGTCGTCTCCTGCAGTTCAACTCACGACAGCAGCTGGAATCGCAGATCGGACTAAACCACATACAACTACATGTACAGTTTGAAGATGAAAAGGTAATCTATGCAACGGGAAGACCAAGAAGCAGCATACGTGTACCAATTTTTTTTATATTGTTGAACTTGTCATCCTCGTCGAGAAGATAAATTCTGGATCAAATTTGTGAAGTGCCATAGAGTGGGAGGCCGATCTCAGCACGGCTCCTGTGGATGTAAACCCAGGCAGGAAATATGCTTTGCCAGGCTGCAGTCTATCTACTGTACTCATTTCGATACAAGCGTATCAGGTGGAGTGTTGTCCCGTATTAGCGCCGGACACGAGCCACTCTAGTTAATGAACTGTGAATTTGGCGCGTTCGAAGACAAGGTGATACCAGTATTTACCGAGACCTACCTGTATAACTGGCAGAACTTGCGTGTATCAAGGCAACGGGATTATTGTGGGGTTGGGGAAGGAGCATATCTCGCTGCTTGCGTGCAAATTATGTAGGATGTTGTTTTGGAGTTCGTTCAGTCGCTCTGGCAAACACATCTCGTCATGTGCACAAAGTGGCGGCATTCCATATTCTTTGAATGCGTCTGGTTTAAATACAAATTTTGCTAGCGAAACGGGGCTGCGCCGCAAAACTAACCCCCGCTCATGGTCACCTGTCCTCTTTGAAATGCTATGCCCTGAGCAGTTTAAATTCCCACAATCGTGTACGGGCTGAAATTGTCAACCTGATTGCATTTAACCCGAATGCGGATTCGGCCTAGGCTCGTGGTAAGCAGTGTGTCATGAACCATGAAATCGAGTAGGTGAGGTTCTTGTAGAGTTCTATGTCGCGTTTTGTTTTTGTTTCCTATTGATTTGCTCGCCACATGGCCCAAAAATTGAGACGGTGTTTGGTAGTGACTTTGTCACTAGTGATGAAGTCCGCATTGGATACATTCGTTAAGCCAAAAATCTCGTGCGGGCTCCACGAACGAGGGAATCTGCAAATATTAGTAATTGATACGAGTGCTTCGGGTACAAAATTTGAACTGTGTCAAACGTACATGCAGATGCAAGTATCTGTTTAGGGTGCTACATGTATTGAATACATCTTGAATTGAATAGGCCGCGACCAACGTGATTTTTTTTTTTTGGGGGGGGGGGGGGAATTGAGTCGCTTGGAACTATGAGCATCCATTGTGTACCGTGAATACAATGAATCAAAACATGTTTTTACAGCAAATCCGGTAAGTGAGGTTT